GCTGAAACAAACCATTTGTCTTGATATACGAGCAAACGTATCTCGAAAGCAGAACGGAAGTCGAGTTTTTTTTCGCAGACGTAAACAGAAGTATCACGTTACAGTCACCATATATGCAAATTAGAGTCAAGCTTTTTTAACTCAACGAAAACGTTGCAAAACATTTACATTTACATTTGGATCCCTGCAAAGTCACCCAGCCCACGCATGAGCTCTACGCCACGTAGGATTGCTCAATACAAATAAGCGATTCGAATAAACGAGATGCCAAAGGTAAAACTGGCGATCGGAAGGGCATTTAGCTATTTAGTTGCAATTGAACCACACTGACCTCGAACGTCTAGTATTTCTTACGATGCTTTCTGAGTTGTTTTTGTCCAAAAATCCATCTTCAGGATCTTTGAAATCGTTTTCAATTTGTCCTAGATGAGAATCTCGGCCATTTCTCTTCTCGCTCGCTCCAGGGGGCGGTAAGATGAGAGACCTTCGGAACGAGGTTGCATTTACATTTGCTGTTCTCTAGTTCTGGCTTACTGCTTTTGGGCTTGGCTTTAGAGCACTCTTCCATTGATTCAATTTTGACCTTCGCTGGATACAGACTGAACTATTTGTGGCCACTGGGAATAATAAATTCAACAAATGTAATCAAAATATAGCCAACGTCTTATGAAATATGGCTGTTCCCACGGTTAACATTCAAAAGCCAAAGCGATTCAAAGTCGTGTTCGTGAACAGAATAAATCATATTGTCCCAGCTATGTATAAACAAAAGCACGTCATCTCGCAGCTCGGTCCAGAATCAAACCTTCTAGAAACGAGCGATCGCAAACGATCAAAAAGCAAATCATCTCCTATACACGTGCTTTGCGATGATGTAATTTGTTTTCGCCCAGCCAAAAAATATCACTCCAGTCTGCATTGGGAGTGCACTCCTTTTTTTGGTCGAATGCAATCAGAGTGCAAAACCAGTTCAAAGAGGACCCCAAAACGTCGAAAGCCAAGCATGACGTGGCAGATGGACACAAAAACGAGGCCCAAAGGCCCTAAAAAAACCTAGAGGGGCGCCCAATTTGGCAGTCTTCACAAAAAAGTCTCGAATTCCCGCGCCTGCTAAAAAAAATTAGGATGGATTACAATGGAATGTTGCAGGCCTACTGGGCGTCCAACTGCGAGGCTGGGCAAGGTCTGGCTCGTTATGAAGGTCAAAAACAATGCACGCATATAAAGGTTTCGGAGTGATCGGGTTTCAGATTTTCCTTAACGTAAGCTTTGCAGTTTAAAATATATTTATTTGTTGAACCATGATTTTAATACACAAGGTAACCTCTCCTACCCATCGCTTCGCACTCCGAATTCCTCTGTTTCGCGCTCGCCAAAATTTTTTCCGTCCTCGCCGGAAGCCTGTTCGCAGGCTACAAGAATGTCGGATACTATACTGAATTAAGCGGCCCGTGGGTTATAACATCTAAATTTCCTGGCGACACTGAAAGTTCCCTGTTCGGGGAACCGATAATAGCGGAAAATGAAAATGACTGATTTTAACCGAGGCATTGAAAGTGGCATATTGGCCCGCAGAAAAGGGCAAAAGGCCGCAAAAGGCTGAAGATCATTATGGGAAAAACGCTGATCGATGAAGACATGGATATCTTCTACCGTATCTGGGGTGCGATTACGAGTAAATGAGTGGCTTACTCGATAACATCTTCTCACAGCAAATTATTCTAAAGGGCTTGACTTTTTCTTTTCGAGAAAATTGCCGAAGCAATAGGAAGTTATTTTTAGAGAGTAAATCCTACCTTGTGAAAGCCTCAATTTGCAACGGGAAGTAGTGGTTGACTATGGGCGACTGTTGTTCAAGGAGTCTATTGGCTCAACTACTATGTCAAAGAGAACGCCGCACCGTCACGCGACCATACTGCAGGCTAAACATAATACGGAGCGTGCGATAACTCATGCATTTGCATTTGTTACATCAACAGTACAGGAAATGAAAAGAGAACTTGAAACGAAATGCATTCTTTGAATACTTGCCTATTCCTCAAAGAAATCGCAAAATACTCAGTATCAATCGAAATCAAAACCAGAATTCGACATGGCCAAATGTACAAAAACATGTTCGATACTTATGTAAGCAAAACACATAACAAATGTTCCTTCTGTATAAATCCACTTAAATTCTGGAAAATAACTAAGAACTATCTTTGTAAGAAACTTCATGTCCCGACTAACTTACCAAGCCACCATCGCAAGCAGAGAGATGACAACAAAACAATTTAAAAAATACATACAAGTAAATTAATAGAAAAACAGCGAGAATGGACGGTCCGCCAGAGAAAACTGACCTTTGAATCCCGCTAAACGACGAGAAGGCGCTCAATCCTAGAATTGACCAGGCTGACCGGCGAGACGATCTATGAAAAGGAAGAGGGAAGCTGAGTCATATATACATCGCTCACGTAATATAATAATTACCTATTATTTAGCCTCTCTCTAAAATAGCATTCACTGACTGTTTGG